GAGATTGTGAGATTGCCACCCAAGGGAAGAGAAGAGGATTCCTATTGGCCTAGAGATTCTATCCTGGCTGCTACAAGATAGGTCTCTCACTGGGCCTGAGAGCACATGTTGATGAGGCAACAGGATTGGTGAGGGGTTGTTTGGCCAAAGAGGACAGTCTTTGGGACATTTTGCTCACCATTTGAATGTTTTGTATTATTGTGATGCTTAATTTGATTTTATTTTTTAATCTTATTTTAATTAAAACTTGTAACTCCTTCCAAAGTGTATTGGTGTGTCTGGGCCGGGTCTGTCACCTGGGAAAAGGCCCAATGGCCAGTAACCCTTTCAGGGGAAGCACTACACAATCATTTTGTCAGCCTCTTGATTTGTAGGAAGCAATTATCATGGAAATGAACTCTTTTGAAAAAAATATTTTTATTAAGGAGAGTTTTACATAAGATTAAAAACCTAATAGGAAAATAGGAAAAATGGGGAAAAGATATAAAAGAAAAAATAGGGACAGCAAAAGACAAAAAAAAAAAATCTAAAGAAGCTATTTCCAATCTTTATAGCAGTTAGTTACTATCTCCACCCTCCCAGATTGTATATCTTGATTCCCTTCTTCCCATTAACAACCCCGTTAATCAGTAAATCTGGAATTCATCCATTCTCAGCAAAAAAAGGCCATAAAGTGTTTCCAGTCTTTTATAAATGTAGTAATGGCTTCTCTAATCAAACAAGTCAATTTAGCCATTTCTACAAAGTCAGTCATCTTCACAATCTATTTCTCTATGGGTGTTTCTGTAGTTTTCCATCTTTTGTGTATATAATAGCATTACTGTAGTTACCATATTATAAAATCAGCTCTTTTGCCTTCTCTGGTTTTAGATTAGTGCTGTCAGCCGCATCCCTGGGATTTCACCAGCTGCTAGTTGTAATTTACTGGTATTTGTGAAAACCAACCATGGAAGAACAGAGCTGATAGGCACTTCATCTAGGACTGCTGAGCCAGTATCTGCTACGGAAGTGCTGGTTTAAAGAAAGTTTGAAGCTACTGGTAAAGTAGCGCTTTTTGAGCCACAATCAATGAACCATGATGGATATTGCTGGAGTTTAGAATTGTAAATCTATGCACTTTGATTAAGGTATATCTTTAATAAATATATAAATATTGATAACAACCATGATAGTGGATAAGTTGTAAAAAAAAATTATATTCACAAAAGAGCACATCACTGAATTTGACTTAAGAAACAAAGAAGGATTATAATAGACTTACACGTCTCTTACTGGAGGGGTTTTTTGTAACATTGTTTGCATTTAATAAACTAGACTGCTTTGTGTGACTCCTGGCCACAAGAAAGTGAGTATCATAGTGAATATCTATTTTCAATCCGATTTCCCGAGTGTGCCCAGAATTTCTAGTGTTATGAAAACATACATTAACCACAATAAAGTTGCATAACAGCCACAAGGTGGTGCTAGATAAGCATCCTGCTGCTGAAGAGGCTGCACCCTTCTGACTTCTTGACAAGGATGGACCAAGTGAAAAAAGTAGAAAGGTAATAACTGACCCAAGTGTTCAGGTCTGGATTGGGAGGCTCAAACTTCAGTTCAATCTCAACAAGACTGAGAGGCTGTGGCTCTGAGACTCTCCTAGAATGATGACGTTTTAACCTTTAGTCTTAGATGGGGTTGTATTTCTCCCAAGATTGAGCATCGACAATCGATAATAAGCATCGATGCAATCCCTAGATATGCTTATTATTAAATAAAGAACAGGTTGCTTATTATTAAAAATGGTGAGTGGCATTCTTTTTCGAGACAGTGAAGCATTGAAGTCACACAATTCTTTTAGGAAGTACTGAAGCCATACGTTTTTAATATATAGGGTTTTTTCCAGCGGTTCCCAAAGCATTATGTGGCTTCAGGACTTTTGTTGGGCAGTCTGTAAATATGAGCTCTGACTTAAATACAAATTCAGTTTATTAGGAACAGAATTCATTAACTGGGGACTGCCTGTACTAACAACTAAACACCTGATGCATACCTACACTCAAATATTGTATCTTCACATAAAAGGGTTGCATTCGTGCCCTTTTAGATTTGCATTTACTGCCATTATCAACTTGTAAGCAAAATTCCTCCCTACGTTGATCCTCCCAGGATAGCTCTTCTCTCTTGGGAGATTACTAACACACCCAGGAAGTGCACATCCATAATTTTAGGAGGCATCTTTCTCTTCTCGACTGGTTACATAATTGGCTCTTTCCCTTGGGAGAATACTCAAGTTAGGATATAATAGCAGAGCTGGAAGTCGTCCAGATTTGCTTGACAGCGAAATGGGTAGCATATGAATTTAATAAACTAAGTGGCCCCAGTGAAATGCTTCAGAAAAGCAAGGCTGGTGCTTTTCTTCTATTCCTAATGACCACAGAACTGGCTTTCTTGGAGACTAAGCAATCAATAACAAAAAGTTGTGATTTTGGGTACTATCTACAAAGAATTGGGTACTTCCATCACTCATAGGGGATAAAAATGATCCTTTTGAGAACAGTCTTCTGAACAAACAGCAAATCTTGATGCTTATAGAGTACTAAGAATTATGCTCAATCCATCCAAGAACTGTCAATCTGTTCAGGAGATGTGGGACTTTCTGTGCCTTCAGAGGAAAACACTGCATAAAAACTTATTGTCATCCTCAAGCAACGGTGAAAATATGCAGTCAATTTTAAGTTTTATCCATATGCACACATTTTTTAAAATCAAGGTACAGAATGGTTAACCTCCCCAATTCATTTTTTCCTGCATGTTGGTTTCTAAGAATTTCCTTAAATGTTAAAATTCTTATCTCCAAGCATAACCTACCAACCTTGCCTTTTTAATCCTTAGGGCTTGTTATCGCACTCAATTTTACTTTTCATATTGAAGTGAGCACAGCAGCCTAGGTAATACCCAATGTATATGAATGCATTTACTATCCATATTGAAAGTTCCAAATATGGGAATGGAATCGTTAATACATCCCAGCAGCTTCTGATAAGCACAGCTTAAGTGCTTAACTAGGCCTAAAGTGACTAAAAAACAGGTTCTTCCAAGGGCAATCACCTTCAGTGAAGGCCACCTGCTGAAAGCCTAGTGGGCTTTCTCATGTAGTTGGTCACACAAGAACAGACTTCTGCACTGGATGGACCAGGAATCCAGTCCAGTAGACAATTACTCATGCTTTCTTTTGAAACATCATCTTACCTGGAAAATAAAGAGCCATGAAGGTAAAGTAATTCTAGACTTAAAATTTATTGAAGATAAACTAGAAGACCAATTGTTTGCTTACAAAATTTAGTATTTTTTTTCATTACCCAACAAGTAGTATACTATTACTGTAACATATGCAATGGAAAGCAAAACTAATCAACGTATGTGAATAGCCAGAAAGTGTTGACCAAATTAGTAATAACCAAAGGCAGCTATTTGACATAGGCAAGTAATCACTAACTACCAGTTCCAATGACAGCATAGAATTATCTTCAGTCTGTGCAAAGCTCTCTTAGCTTGGTATTTAAAATCAAAGTCCTGGCACACTTCTGTCCAAAAGTATTTTTGGGTGCAGCTCATAGGACTTAAACAGACTTTCTGATAACACTTTCATCAATATAGCTGTTTGCCTTCTAAATTTTTCAGTGGGATTTTTTTTTTTTGGTCCCAGTCTTTTTAGATAAAAAATGGAGAATACCACTGGACAAAGCAGCAGTACCTTCCTCTGCCCACTTGAGACTAACAGTAAAAAATAACTTTCTGAAATTACTATTTTTCCTATTCTTTATTTTAGACCCAAGGCTTTCATGGTTTGAAAGTAGGTTTGCGAAATACTTAGTACATGTCATTTCTTCAAATTGTTATTCCTTGAAAATAATACTTCCAAGATGTCATTACTGTTTTCACTGTTACATTTATCTAGCAGTTACAGTAGTCAGACACAGAGAAACTGAAGGTACAATCCAAACTTTAAAACTCAAGGTTTTAGTTCTCATTTTAGAGAGCAATGCTTCAGTCTCACCATAAATTCTTTAAAAATACTCAGCTGTAACAGGAGCATCAAAACAATTTGAAAGAAACCCCAGTATTTTAAGGATAGAAAAGCTTGTTATTCTGTATGTTACACCTTGTGCTGTATAGGTAAAAATAGCCAGGATTTTTTTTGACTGCATCCCTGTAGACCACAAATGCAAATTAAAATTCTGAAGCTGAAATGGTGCATAGCAATGTCTTCTGTTAATGGCACTATTAAAATACCAAATCTATTCTAAGGAAATGGTACTACTGACTCCATTTACTATAGGACTTAAGCCACTAACTTTGGCATAACATCTAGAACCTGAATACAGATTACTCTCAGCACAATATTGCTTTTAAACAAAATTTTAACCATTTAACTGGTCATGATTTTTTTGAAGGGTGTAATTTCATTTTAGAATTATACTAAAGGTGAAGTATAATTATCTTGGAAAATATTGTCTCTCAGAACTTACAAAGCAGGAAAAGAGCATTTGATCTTTTAGTTGATTTAACACCCATTAACTTGCAGCAATTGGCTTGAGAAATATTCTATCAGAGGTGAATTTCTGTATCATAACCTGCAACATGATCACACAATGCTCCAATAAAAATTCCATTTAAAATGATCGAACACTAACCTATACTAATAGCATGGAAACACAGAAGTCACTGCCTACATGTGCTTTTGAATATTAAACATGGAAAATTGAATCTACAAACTATTTTGTAGCTTTGATATACTTGAGCATATTGAAATAGCTCCTTGACTATTTTCTAACTCTTAAGATGTTGGCACAAAATTAAGATCACGCTTAAGACTGCTGCAATACTTTTGCAAACAATCTTGTTCCCCAAATCAATGAGGTATAATTACTTTCAACTACTATACTGCTCTGCAAAGCACAATTGTTTTTGAATATCAAAGTGTATCCAATAGCCCCAAAGAACACAGAGACTTTGCATTAAACTTTTGATTTTAATGGTCTCAAAAAATGTGACAGATTTTGGTCAAGTTGTTTCCATTTAAAAAAAAGATTACCGATTTTAAAAACTAATAACTTAGAAACTGCCACGAAACAAATGGTCCACAAACATTCCTTTCCTTCTGAAGCTTTTACGATGCATTGTAATTATTAACCAGTCTTTTACTATTAAACTTAAATGGCCAATTGAGACAAAAAGTTCTGAGACCATGCTTCCACCACTGATTAAGACTGAGGTGGCAGTTGTACAGAATTTTCATTTAGCCTTCTGAGCCTTCTGGGCAGACTTTGTGACCTTGCCAGCACCACCTGCTTTTTTATCAACAGCCTTGATGACACCAACAGCAACGGTCTGTCTCATGTCACGCACAGCAAAACGACCTAATGGGGGAGAAAAAAGGAATTAGAACTACAGGAATATAAATCCAGCAATTTCCTTTTTTTCCAATTCAGATCCTCCACTACCAACTGTAAATGAGGTTGTAATTAACTTGGTATTTCACAGCAGTCCAACCCAATACATCTGGTTAAAAATACTTAGTATTTTTACTAAAATACTATTTTAGTAAATACTAAATTTATTAAAAATACCAACACAATTTAACTCCTTCAGTAGGCAAGACACTGCAACACTTTTTCCTTTAAGCAAAAAGTAAATTGAGTATCAAGTTTCTTGCATAGGACATAGCAAAAACTCTTTACAAGAGACTAAAGGAGGGAGGAGCACACCCATCATTTGACAATGTCTGGTGAATTGGAGTATATTTTAAGTTATTTGTCATCAACATTATGAAGGGACATTATTAAAGGTACTCAACTTATGACCAATTGAGCTTAACATTTCTGTTGCTAAGCAACAGTTCAGTTTTGTTCTATTTTGACTCTTTTTCCAGTTAAGTGAATTACTGCAGTTTAAAGTTAATAACAATTGAGTCCTGCTTCCCCACCGACTTTGCTTTTCAGGTCACAAAAGGTGAGATTACATGACTACAGGACACTAAATACATAAATGGATGCCAGTTGCCAAGCGGCTGAATTTTGACAGTCTGAAAAGAATTTATCTGCTACACGTAGCATCCACCATCCCAAGATCAGGTAAACTGAAGTTTCATTATAGCTTAACCTGACAATATCAGCACAACAATGATATACTTCTAATAAATAACTTACCCAGAGGAGGATAGTCAGAAAAGCTCTCAACACACATAGGCTTGCCTGGAATCATGTCAACTATGGCAGCATCTCCAGATTTGAGGAACTTTGGACCATCTTCCAACTTCTTACCAGAACGACGATCAATTTTTTCCTTCAGCTCAGCAAACTTGCAAGCAATATGAGCAGTATGACAATCCAGAACAGGGGCATAGCCAGCATTGATTTGGCCTGGGTGGTTCAGGATGATAACCTATGGGAATAGATTTGAGTGAATCATACTGTCCTCACGGTGGAATTTAGAATCACTGACACACTAAAACTTCTGCCAAGTTACCTGTGCTGTGAATCCAGCTGCTTCCATTGGTGGATCATTTTTGCTATCTCCAGCAACATTACCACGACGGACATCTTTTACAGATACATTCTTTACATTGAAGCCAACATTGTCACCAGGAAGAGCTTCACTTAGGGCCTCATGATGCATCTCAACAGATTTTACTTCAGTTGTAACATTAACTGGAGCAAATGTCACCACCATGCCTGGTTTTAGAATACCAGTTTCCACACGACCGACTGGAACTGTACCAATCCCTTAAATAAAGAAATACAATTTCTCTAGCCAGGTTTGTAAATGTAAATATACATCCCTAATAAGCTTTTCCAAATGTTATTTGCTGTATTGCTGTTGTAATACTTACCACCAATTTTGTAGACATCCTGAAGTGGCAAGCGTAGAGGTTTGTCAGTTGGACGAGTTGGTGGCAAGATAGAGTCTAGAGCTTCCAGCAGTGTAGTTCCACTAGCACCGCCATCTTTACGAGTGACCTTCCACCCTTTGAACCAGGGCATCTAGAAAGGAAAAAAAAGCACAGCAATTCATTGTCTGCAATCCTTTGCGATGTGACTGCAGACAAAAAAACCCCTATCAATAATTACTTACATTAGAGCTAGGCTCCAACATGTTATCGCCATTCCAGCCTGAAATTGGCACAAATGCCACCGTATCTGGATTGTAGCCGATTTTCTTTATGTATGTGCCTACTTCTTTGACAATTTCCTCATATCTCTTCTGGCTGTAAGGTGGCTCAGTGGAATCCATCTTGTTGACCCCAACAATGAGCTGTTTTACACCCAGAGTGTAAGCCAGAAGGGCATGCTCACGGGTTTGTCCATTCTTGGAAATGCCAGCTTCAAATTCACCAACACCAGCAGCAACAATAAGGACAGCACAGTCAGCCTTTGGAGAGGCAAGAAAAGGTAATTATTAACTTCAATGTTTCTAACATACAATAATAATTTTAAGTAATTAATATTATATCTGACATTAGTTCACATTAGTTCTCACCTGGGATGTACCAGTAATCATGTTTTTGATGAAATCTCTGTGTCCAGGAGCATCAATGATAGTGACGTAATACTTGCTGGTTTCAAATTTCCAGAGTGAAATATCAATAGTGATACCACGTTCACGTTCTGCCTTCAGCTTATCCAATACCCATGCATACTTGAAGGAGCCTTTACCCATCTATTAAGGGGAAAAAAATTACACAAAGCACAAAATGTCACAAGACTACTGTTTCTCTTTTAAAGGAAGCATGCACTAATGCTCTGAAACATAATCTGCAAACTATGTTTAGAAGATCAAGCAACTGGCACAACTAGTGAGGAATTCCAAGTATCTCTCACTTACTTAACCCCTTGACAGTGCTAATCCAACTTTCCTTGCATCTGCCAATGTTTAAAGATATCCACTTAAATGCATACCCTTTCCAATCAACTTATAACATTACATTTACTAAACACAATGATACAACTATATAACAATTACCTTTCTAGTTACACTTCTCCCATACATATATAATTTATTCCTTTCTCCTTTAATCTACAAAATCCACACTATACAACTTTTAACTATAGTAATTAAGATAGAATGCTAAATAAGGTTTCAGCAGCAATACCTAAAATAAAGCAAATTACTTTCTAAGTCAAGCACCTTACATAAAATACGAGATAAACCAACAATTCTTCAGGCCACAAACTCACCTCAGCAGCTTCCTTCTCAAACTTCTCAATGGTTCTCTTGTCAATCCCACCACATTTGTAAATCAGATGACCAGTGGTGGTGGACTTGCCGGAATCGACGTGTCCGATGACAACGATGTTGATGTGGGTCTTTTCCTTTCCCATGTTGGGTGGTTAAGATAGGCTTTTCCGTCGGTTCCAATCAAGGTCCTTTACGGGATAAAAGTACACAAGGCCAAAAATAAATAAATAATAAAAAAACTTTTCCAACGTAAGAGGAAAAAAATTCACTTAAAATTCTCTGGAAGTAAAGCAAGGCATGGAAGGACGGCCAGGGAGTTTAATCTCTTCCTTCCGGGGCTCCAAGGCCGAGACTAGGCCCAAGGCCTGCCTCGAGCTCCTCGGCTCCACCCCTCTTCAGGTCACGGAGACAACAGGGACTCGACTCGGGAAGAGGTTCCAGCGCTTCTAGGCCGCCGCCAGGGGCATCCCAGGCGTGAGGAGGAAGGCAAAGGCCGAGCGGCTCCTTTGTGTCGGGAGCCAGGCGAGCACGAGTCGCGGAGGAGGGTGGGGGGTGGGGAGAGGAGGGGGAGACACTTGTTGGCGCGCCCCGCCCCACCCGCGTCCTCCATTTTGTGACGGTAGCGGCACCAGCCGCCACGGCCGCCGAGAGCGGCCATTTTTTTGTGTGAAGCGGAAAGCAGGCGGCGGCATGGATTCCAGCGAAGAACCCTCCCAACCTCGAGGCCGACGGGCGAAGCTGAGGGAGGCGCCGGAGGGAGCCGCCGCGCCACGAGTGCAGTCGGCCCGGTTCCGCCGGAACCACGTTTCCCGCCGAGGCTCCGCGGACGCTCCCAATCTTTCCCCTCATAAACCCCTTGTCGCTCGGGCCCGAAGGCATGAATGGGCCCCGTCCAGATTTGTAACCGAAACCCCTCGCGCCAGACCTGTTGCGCCTCTAATCCGGAGTGGGGGGGGGAAAGCGGGGGAGGGGAAAAGAGGGGGGGCGGTGACGCGGAGAGACAAACGCGTGGATCCCATCTCCCCCCCTCCCCCTCCCCCGCTTCGCAGGCGAAGCGTGCGTGGCTGCGCCTTCCGTCTCCCGAACCCCTTCGCGGGCGTCGAGAACGGCTCTGGCTCGGGCCAGGAGCACGTGCGTCTCAACCGGTCCTCGGGCCTTCCTCACCCCCGCCGCCACCATCCCCACCCCCGACAGGTCTAAACGCGGCTAGGCCGCGCGCACGCGCGTCGAGCAACACTTACCTCCGAAGCAGCGGCAAACCCGTAGCGAAAAAGACCGACGGGGTGAGCTGCGCCCTTTATATAGCTTGAGCAGGGAGGGCGGCGGCCAGAGGGACACGTCACGCTCCCAGCGTTCCATCCGCTGGCTCTGACTCGCTCCCCCCCCACCCTCCCCCTTACATACACACACACACACACATCTCAACAGGACGCCCCTCCTCGAGGACGACGTTCCGGGAGGGAGGGGGAAATGCCGCCCCCTCCTTTTTCATCGTGGCAAAGAGTCTCCTTTCGCTCGCTCGTAAGCCGGCTGGCCCTCGGCCTCTCCCCCCCCCCCCGAAAGTAAAGGCGCTTCGTCCTCCCGAAGGCATTTGGAAGACCCGTCTCTTCAATCGCCCTTACAGAGAGGGGGTTGAATTAGATCGTCGGGATTTTCCCCAGCCTTGCCTATTTCTCTCCCCCCCCCCTCCTTTGAAACCCGGCTGCGCTTCCCTTTTCATCACTGGAAGCTTTGAAGAAGAGACCGGACTGCCATCTTTCAAAAATGGTGTAGGGTTTCCTGCTTGGGCAGGGGGTTGGGCTAGATGACCTACGAGGTCCCTTCCAACTCTTATAATTCTGATGCTTTTTTTCCTCTCGCCGCCGACTTTTCGCACCCAGCGCGGGGTAGGCCGCAGTTTCTCCGCTTCTCCTGCAGGCAGCCCGCCGAGTTTGACTCCAGGAGCCGCTGGGATCGTGCTGGTCAAGAGCGGTGCCGCCTCTTAACCTACCCGGGACCTTTCGTTTCGTGCCCTCCTTCCATATCTCGTCCACTCGATCCCAGCATAACTTCAGCGCCGGTCACGTCCCTCGCGGACGGATCATCCTCGCCACTCTTCACTCCATTCACCCATCGATAGAATCACCCAATCCCCCTTTGGTCGATCATATTTCTCCCGGTTTGAGCGGTATGCTGTGAAAAACACGCAAAAACCAGTCTCTCTTCCCCCCCTCCCATTTGTTGAATGTTTCATTAGTAATTAAAAATACACGTTGTTTTATAACTACAAGAGCTGGAAGATGTGTACATTTTAATATGTAGTTTAATTTTGAAAGCAAAATATTGTTTGGAATAGTCTTTACGGGTTTATTCATCTTTATTTCACTAAAAGGGTGTGTAAATTCTTTCCCTTGAACAACAACATAGAGGCAAAGATAGGAAAATACTTTGTTTTAGCTGGATTATGACTTTTGCATTGGAATCTCTGGTATTTAAATAGTTGAATTTAGCTATTCACTATTACTAAGTACTAACTGAAGTGGGCTCATAAAACTTCATAATTTATAACTACAGTAGCATATATGCTAATAGGCAGTTTTCTGGAGCTTGCTAAATATTGTAGTATGAAGAAAAAATGACTAAAATTTTCAAAAAACCTGATAGTTTGTTGCCTTACTTTAATACTGTGGACATAGCATATGCATCAAAAATAATCACTTGGTCAAATCAGAGAAATTTGTATTGTGTTATTAAATGATGAAAGATTTAATTATAACTATTTCAGTCCTTTCACCTGCTTCTCACAAATCACTTACAGAATGAGCTTCATCAAACTCAGTGGAATTTACTTGCAATCAAGTTAAAGCTTGCCAGACTATGCTTTTTCTCCATGAGGTATACAGTATTCCTTCACAACTATATAGTATCTGTGAGGCATGGGTTTAACTCAGGTACTCAGTCATAGGGCTCTTTGTCTTGTGTGCCTAATCATTGCACACAGATGTCATTGTAACTTTCCCCCCTGCTATATCTTCATGACATGCTTTTTTTAATTTGCACCTGCCAGAGGCTCCTGGGGCAGGCCCTAAACTGTTTCATTTTTAAAGCACGGTTGTCCCTTTTCCAACAGGACTTTTTGGTGAATATCATCTGGCTTGCTTCCCTGACCATTTGTTGATTCAGTCAAGGGTTGGGATCCATCTAGCTTTTTTTTTGTCTGCTGTATGCATGCCCTCCCACCTGAGATCATTGGACATTGCCCTCTATAGCTATTTTAGCTTCGTCTGCAAGAGATACCAGATGCCTGGTTGTCAGAGGCAATCTCCCCATCTCCCTGGGGCTTCCTGTGGATTTGGTTGCCAGAACCTTAGACCTCTTTTTAAAAGCCTATGTTTGGAAGTAAGCTGACTGACCAGCCAAAGGGACTGCACAAAAGAGTCCATTCCACCTAGCATTCCCTACTTCAGTGGCTGCTGCTGCTGTGCCACCTCTTAAATGGGCATTTTGATAAGTGGCTAAACTTGCCTTTCTAATCCTCTGTCTAAACTCAACCCACCTCACATTCAGGAGAGTAATCTAGGGCTTTTTTACCCTTTGCTGGCAATAAATAAAGGCAATAGCAATACTACTGTATGACAGAACAGGAATGGGCAATGAGGGCAAAACAGTTTATGCCTCTGCATTTTTTACTACAGCAGGGACTGGTAGATTGCACTTTGAGAAGGGCCTGTAGATTTTCTTTTGTTATTTTTAAAGATGAACTTCTTTATTTTTCTTAGAGGAGAGATTACTGCTGTAGAATAAAAGGCATGTGTAACTGTACAGGTCTGTAACGGATAAAATTCACTTTCACAAAAACCATCACATTCACATAACATCTGTCTCACACTGCAAGCCTATAGCTATACTGCATATTTGGGTTTAACAGACCTTTTGATGGCAAATAAATAACATAATCAGAAAACAGGTTTACTATAGTACAGTAAACTATTTTTTAAATATGCCTACCTCGTGCAGATGGAAATTTCTGTCTGGCAAAAATAAGGTATTTCCTAACTATGGAAAATTACCTGAGTTGATATCTATATACAGAACATAATGTGTGAAGGCTATGTGAAGATACGCTGCAATTCTCTACAGACTTTCCTAGTGGGAAATGGTGTATCACAGAGAACTAAACAGAGGTTACCTCTGATGAAATGGCATTATACTCTTACTTTAGTGCAACGTTGGCAGAAAAATAGATGAGTCTGTTAGTAAAACCTCAGATTATCTGCAGTAAATTGGCAAGGATTTATCATTCCCACACAAAAAAATAGCCAAATCTAAAGTATATTAATTACATTAAATTAGTATCTGAAGAGAAGCAAGCCTGGCTAACTAGGAGGATACTTTAGTATGAATTCCATTTACCGTACCTATTTTACAAATTCCTAGTTATCAGATTTGTTTCTAAATATATATTTTTTCACCAGGGTATGGTTTGTTGAAATTTCTAAACAAATTTCACATGTCTGAAATGAATCACTCTGGCCACAGCAGATAACATCGTGATTTAAATGGATATATGTAACTAATATATATTTTGACTGCAAACTTTTTAAAAATAGTTGGAATTTGATGTTTCTAAGTTCAATTATCTATAGCTAAAATGTTAGAATGAATAGAAGAATGTAAAAAATGTTTACAGTAGATTTAAAGATTACCTTAAGGTGCACTGTTCCAAATTGAGTCAGAATATTTTCCAACTGCCTCTTGCCCAGTATTTGTATTCCTCTGAGATAATGTTGGTTTTATTGAATATTAACATTTTAAAAAATTATGTTTAGCCAATCCCCTCTTGAACAAAAACTGTACAAGTGATTCAAGTCATTATTTTTATTTAAAAGGATAATGGCATTAATAAAGATTTCAATTCAGTTTGCCTTTATCATATTTCCTGCTAACAATGCCAATGTATCTTTCTACATACTGGTATTTACCTAACAGTAAGATTCCTTAACATAACGTACTTTGTGCTGTTATTTTCTCATTTCATTACACTCTGCAGTGCTCATAATCTGAATGAGTGTGATTCTTTACAATAAAATCAATTTATGCTTTTACCTGAAGTATTTTTACAAGATAGGTGAAACAGATGAAGACTGAACAAACTGGATTGCAGTTAATTTACACCAGTTAAGTTAAAATGAACTAAGATATACCTCAGGTAAAAGGATTTATGCTTAGTTCCCAACATAAACTAAGATATAGCATTTATAAAAATACCTCAGGTAAAAGCATAAATTTCTAACTACTTTTAGTGTTATGAGTGATCACACAGAAGTAATTCCAGGGCATCATCCTCTGAGGTATAACTGAACTCACCTAATGATTTAGTGAATACACAAATCCATATAAATTTGATCCTAGTCTCTTTAAGTTAAAACCACTTCAAACAGCACCTGTAACAAGCTGGATGACAATGAAGTCCATTTAAATCAGACTGGTAGGCTGAAATTTTAATTAAGTTATAATAAACTATGTTTTGGCTGTCATGTTTTGAAACATTTTTTTTAACGAGTTCAAAATGCAGAGTAAAATATAAACATACTACAGGTAGTCCCTGACTTATAGCCATTTGTTTAGTGACTGTTCGAAATTACAAAGGCATTGAAAAAAGTGACTTACGACACATTTTTATCATTTACGACTATTGCAACATCCCCACATGATCAGAATTCAATTGTTTGGCAACTGGCATGTATTTATGACGGTTGCAGTGTCCCAGGCTCATGTGATCACCTTTTGTGACCTCCTGACAAAGTCAATGGGGAACTGGGGTCAATAGGTTACTATGTTACTATGTTACTAACTTAACTGCAGCATTTCATTTAACAACTGTGGCAAGAACGGTTGTAACAGCAACACTCACTTAACAACTGTCTTGCTTAGCAACAGAAGTGTTGGGTTCAATTGATGTCATAAGTCAAGGACTACTTGAATATTAATCCAAATTGAACTAAATCATGGGTAGTGATGATAACAGTTTATACAATGCTATACAATGGAATGTAGCTGGAAATTCTCTTCTTCTAGCAAGATGCAGCTCCAAGTTCTGTCATGCCGGCTTATGTTGCTACATGGCAGCCAAGAAGCTGCCAAATGGGCCCCAAAAAGGCCAGGTGGTGTCTGCAACTGCATGATCAAAGCTTTTTATGCACATGTGATGCATGCAAAAAGGGGCAGGTTTCAATTGCACTGCTGCTGGCACAATCTGGATTTTTAAAAATCTCTACAGATGCTGCACGGCAATAACTAAACTTCACGAAAAAATGAAATACACTGCTCAAAAAAATAAAGGGAACACAAGCAGAAGACATCCAAGATCTGAATGAATGAAATAGCCTTATTAAATACGTTGTTCGTTACATACAGTAGTTTTATGTTCCCTTTTGAGCAGTATATAAACTACTGTATGTAAAGAACAACGTATTTAAGGCTATTTCATTCATTCAGATCTCGGATATCTTCTGCTTGTGTTCCCTTTATTTTTTTGAGCAGTATATATTTTTTAATATATCTCTGTCTCTGTGTCTATCCAATATGCAAAAAAGACAAACCACTTAACATAGTTCCTGTTTTATCAGAATTGGGTGGCAAATAATAATGTAGTACTTGTGAAGTTGGTTTCTTTTTTCTTCTTTTGCCTTGTTTTGCTTACCTTCTTGCTTTTGAGTCAGTTTTTGACTCCTGGTGACTATCTGAACTAGTCCCTGCAGTTTTCTTGGCAAGGTTTTTCAGAAGTGATTTGCCATTGTTTGCTTCCTTGGGCTAAGAGAAGAGTGACTGGCCCAAGCTCTGACTTCCTAAACTCTGGCAGTTCTTATGAAGAAAGACTCTATGGAATTTGGACTCCAAATCTCCTTTTCTTCTCCTCAGCCTGTCCTGGTGAGGAGGGAGGGTTGCTAAAAAGTACAATTAATTACTTCTTGGAATGTCAATAATTGTTTTTACTATATTTTCCTTCAGAAAAAAAAGACCCAAAGTTACTTCCTTTAAACTTAGTAGACTGTTAGTCAACCTTGGAATTAAAAAAGGCACAATCAGAGAAAAGTCTCAACAATCTGAAACAAAACTGGATGGAGGGAATAGTATACCTGAATGAGGCTTGTGTTTAGTTGCTTTTTATAAATCTTTTTATGAGACAGGGAATGAGTTAGGATAGTTGGACACATGCCAGGTTTTTTTCTTCCTAACACCCAGGGATTTTGCATAAAATTTCCTCCTCAAATCTAAGTTTTATCTTCTAATCTAGGAGCAGCAAGATGTACCCATTGGGTGCTCAGTGTCTCTGCAGAAGTCTCTCTGCCCTCTCCACAAATCACTTTGCTTTTCAGAGGAGACTGATTTATATGGAAGAGAATTCAGTGTCTCTCTGTCCGTATATGCACGTTGATACAAGGATAACATTTTGTCTGCTCTTTGAAAGATTTAAGGTTGTAATCCTATGCAGTTTTACTCAGTGGACAGTGCTTGGAAATACGGTGTTTGTATTCAGATACAGACATGTAGACAGACAGATATTTCATTTCGCTTTATTAGCCTCATCTGAAACACTCTTATGGCAGATTTGGGCTCTCTTGGCTCTTTTTTGTGCGTGTAAATAAACTTCCTCAGAATTTACACCAACTAGTACAATATGCAAAAATGTCAAATTCTGCTCCCCTATCATGTCAGCTACACAATTTCCATAACATAAATGTTTCATATTCCCCACTATGATATTGACAGCTACATCTGAAATAAGGGATATTGTGCTTTTAACTGTTGTTGAACATGAATGTAACATTATCAAGTACAGTTTTCTTTATGACTACATCTCCAGGCTGAGACAGGATTTACCAGTTGAATTTCTGCTGGTTGTGCAACTCTTAAGAGGCGCAAAGCTTCTAGCAGGAGAAGAAAAGCTGGAACGAAGATAGATAATGCTGGCAAGTAGAAAGATTGTGAAACTACCTACTGTCACATGATGGGTGCAAAATCTTTATTCTGCACTTCCAAGAGCTCTCAGTGGCATACAAACTTTCCAGGCACAAACATTATGGTCACTGTACTGACAAGTTTGCTCCCCTTTCAAGATACTTTCCAAGCCCCAAATGGCTTGCCTCCCACATATTTGCAGGGTCACCTTTCCAGGCATGTTTCAACCCATCCTTTGAGAAGGGCTGCTGAATGCTTCACCACATGAAATTAGGCAATTTAGGGCTTGATGCCCCAATGATGTCCCTTGTTGATGCTACTCTATGGTTGCCCCTTGCCTCCTGAAGTGTAAGGGCCCTAACTTCCTGGTCTTCAAGAATATACTTAAGCTCCGTTTATTTCCTCAGGCGTTTGTGCTTTTATGGCCTCATAATTATTTATTTCTTAAATGTTCATTTTGGTTTTATATTTTATTATATTCTTACAATCCACCTTGAGTCACGTGAAGTGGGCAGTACACAAATATAGGTGAATAAACACACATCAATAGTAATGGAAAGAAATAAAACCACTGACAGTTTGTGGCAAGGAATGTCTTCTGGAAGGAATATACAGTTTAAATGCTACCTTCAAAGAAATGCTGATATGTGATGCATTATTTTTGAAAATTAAAGGATGCTAAAAGAAAAAAATATTACGATATCCTGAAATGGATATAGGCAAGTGCTTTACAAATGAAGGCAATATATTTACTATCGAAAATAATTTGAAAATGTATTAGTAATACTTTCCATTTCTTTTATTTATTAATTTTGTAATTTTTATATCCCTCCACAATCTGAAGACTGGGCAGCATACATCAGACTGAACCTATAAAGGATCAAGTAACATTGAGTAGATTCATTGACCCATTCCAAAATGGATGATGACATTAAACAATCAGAGTTAAAAATGCCACCATATTGCTAAGAATACACTTTAGCTTGTTCTTGCTAAGACCTGGACAAGTTGCAAACCTAAGCAAGTTTTTATACTTTTTTTTTTTTTTTTTGATTTATATGCCCCCTTTTCCGGAGACTCAGGGCGGCTTGTAGTATTTGTGCAGAAAAGAGTCTTATTCCATTTTTCCTTTGGCTATCATAATACAGTGTCCATCTATTGTTTACTGTGTCTTGGTAATTAATTCTTTATTGGTACAGGTGTGATTTATAAATACTAGACAGAAACTATGCTGTAAACTCAAATTGTAATTGACATGGTCATTCTATGCTTGTTTTGATGCTCACCTTTCCCCCAAACTTTCTTTGTACTTTCCTTCTTGCTTCTTGTAGTGAAATTATTTCATCTTGTCATTTTTCATCTCACTGGAATGTTTTGGAACCATTAGAATTCCACAACTTTTTCCTGTAAGATAGAACATTCATTGATGGGGGAGGGGGTGGGGGAAGGGCTCCAGGCTGCAGGCAATCCAGATGCAGCTCTCTCTGGATTGTTCCAGAGGCAGCCCACGAGTTGAGCTTTGTGTGGTGATTCCTTTTAAATCCCTCTCTTTGTTTCCTCCCTCTGCCAGGAACAGAAGTGCTAAACAAAGTAACTTGCTTGTATGGTACATTAGGGACAAAGCACTTAATAGCACTGTGGCTTAATCGTGAATCAGCTCAAAGGCTACCAGTTAGTCTTCTGGGTGCAACTGAACATACACTTATGGATCCTCCACAGGAAAAGTTGCATACCTTAACTTTTTTTTAAAAAAAGAAGAAAATCTGTCTCACAAAAAAAGTGTATAAAGTTTTTAGGAAGAATATAACTTTTCTTTCTGTGAAATACTTACAGATAGTCTTCTTTTAGCCATCTTTTGCAGTTGAAACCAGTTATGACCGTTGCAGGTCTGCAAAGCAAAGGAAAGCTGAAATAAGATCATAAGCAGTTACAGTTCTTTCAAGTGAGTACTTAGCTTAACAACTAAGTTACTGATTGTAATTGTCACAATTGCAGTTGTTAAACAAGGACTACATGTGAATATTCCAGGAAGGTACATAAGCATTAATATTCATTGCTGTCAACTTGCCTGCACTTTGAAATCAAAACTATTGGCCCTTTAATACCAATATAAGGCAACTTCCCCAATGGCTCCATACCTCCAGAATCTGTTGCTATCTGGGACCTATCAGGCTTAAAGCAAACAAGCTTTAGGGGAAGACCTGAAGACATATTTGGTCCATCTAGCCATTTCTTCTTTTCAATTTCATTGGGTATGCGAGAGGACAGGCTGCCTACAAAATGACCAGCACCTGTGCTGATGCCGTCCTGTCCCTTTCAAGTCCTCTCGCAGCCAGTAGAGCAAATGTTGGCTATAAAACATGATCGGAGAGGCAGCTGGGTGTGGTGGTTGTTGATGTATGGGGAAGGGGGAAAGGAGGTATGTGTGTTCCTGAAGCAACCTAAAGTAGATACTGTTCTCCAGCAGCAGGACTCATAAGTAGTAGTACCCTGTTTCCCCCAAAATAAGACATCCCGATAATAAGCCCAATCGGGCTTTTGAGCACATGGCAATAAGGCCAAGCGCTTATTTCACGGTTCAAAAAAATATAAAACGGTCTTATTTTTGGGGAAACACGGTAGTTGGAAGAGCAGTAGGAGGAGGCATAGTAGAAATGAAAGAGTGGAGTAGTGAGTATTAGCCTCTGTGTGTTTGTGTTGCCATTACCTGTTGGTAGTGTTTAGGGTCCACGAACTTGTGTACATATGACAAGTGATGGCAAAAGATGGGGTATACAAAAAGGTTGGGGTAGCCAAAAAATGTGGAATATCTAAAAGATGGGAAACTAACAAGTGGGCACCGGCACAAAGTGGCTTAAACTCAATGAAAAGGAAACTAGCTTTGGCTAAAAAAAAAGGGGGGGGGCTGCAAAAGCAAAGGAGTTTGGGCCTTGCAGAGTTCAGACTTTGCAGAAATTAGCCAGTATCCTGCCTGCTGAAACTAGACTTCTTACCAGAGCTTGTACCAAACTTGGAAAAGGCAGAAGGGACAGATTCCTCCTTCGAAGAGGCTACTACTTTGGTGGAGGCAGGTGTCTGTCTATGGTAAAGCCAAAGTTAAAGGTAGACCAGCCTGAAATGGAGCTAGGCACTGATGTTTGGGGCAGTATAATTGCAGAGCTGATCAGACTGCAGCAAGAGGAAAGGCTGAAATTAATTAAAAAAGAGGAAGAGGAGCAACTTTGGAGGGAGAAAGGAAAGATTGGCTGGAATGGCAAAGAGAGGCAAGAGTTTAGGGGGCTGATAGACCTATTTAAAGGGATATTCACCAGAAGGGGTACATTCAACTCTAACGTTTTCAGAATGTGTAGAGAATGGAGGTGGAGACATTTAAATTACCAAGGAGTCAGAGGAAAAAGAAGAAATAGAAGCCTATTGTTGTGGTTTGCCGGCAGCCTGCGGAGCTGGAAGCAGAGTTGGACAGTGAGAAGGCTGGGGAGGAACATGGGCCAGTCCTGGAGTCTGGGGAAGGCTTGGACGAGTGCTCTGCATTGGAGGCAGAGATGGGGCCAGGGCCATCTGGGAGTTATGTGCTGACTCCGGAGCCTCCAGAGTCTGATGTCAGTGAGGCAGAGGAACAGAGGGAGCCTGTTTCCAGTGCGCGCATGCGCAGACCTGCCAGAAGGCAAGAATAGTTAAGACAAAAGGGGCGACTTGGTAGTAAGGCTTGGAGTTGATTGGCCCCTCCCATAAGACATAAAGGAGGAGCAAAAGCACGTGAGCCTTTGCAGGAAGCAACTTTGTTCGTGCTGGTCGGTTTAAATTCTGAAGCTCCGTTTGGACTCTGTGCTCCATGTGGCCTTGCAAAGCTAATTGCCAATTAGGTCTTTGGCAGTCTGTCAAGGGAGATAAAGGTGGGTGCTTATCAGCCTTATCCCAAAGGACTGTGGCAGACTTCTGTCGGACTCTTTACAAACTATTTGTGACTCATCACGGGCTGTGAATGAACAGAATTCACAGCTGGCAAAATAAAAAGAGGGTTTTTGGGACTTATCGTGTGCTTTTTACTGTCTCAGGAAGCCTAGGTCAGAACATTTATTTTACCAGTTAAAGAGCAGCTACCCCTTGTAAGTGGCCTGAGAAGGAATGGGTGGTCTAACCCAGCCCCATGTTTCATGGGAAAGGCTTTGAGAGTAGTAGTCTTCCAGCGAGAAAAATAGTGGATTACTCTCATGTGAAAGAGATAATTCTATACAGACAGGTTGTCATACCTTACATCTATAGGCAAAGGTTGAGGAGCTACACCTATGACAGACATGAAGGGATGTGTGAATTGTGAGCAACATTGGAAGACTAGGCAAGAAACGGTTGAGGCCAGATGAAAGAAGCAAAGGAAAAGTGGTAGAGGAATTAATTTCAGAACAGTTTCTATATATACTCCTTACCAAATTGAGGTTTCGGGTGCAAAAACATAGAATCGGATCAAAGGGTGATTAGATTGTCTAAGGACTACATGGCAGTAAAATATGGTCAGAGGATATTAGAAAAGATTCAGAAGGAGAGAGAAAATAAGTAAAGTAAGAAAGTACGAATATTAAGGAGCTGAAAGAAAGGTGAAAGGAGTAAAGAAGACTTTAGCTTCTGCCCAAACTAAAGGAAGGCCTTGGGACGTCATAGTTGTTACACCTGTGGGAAAAGTGGCCATTTGTCCAAAGGCAGTAAAAGCAAAAAATAAATAAAATGGCTGCAGTAGAGCATCTTTGAGAAGAAAAATTATATTTGAGATGTTCCATTGGTTAAAGTCCAAGTACATGCAAGAGGGAAGGGAACCAGGTAATGGTGGTATGAGTCATCCCTAATTTGCCATGTAACCTACTAATTGGAATAGATTTTCCACTTACTTAAGGTGAGACCCAGAGAAAAAAAAAAGGATTCGAGAAAGAGACTAAGACAGTGGGAGTAACTACAAGGGTCTCGTCTAAGGCAAAGATGAGAATGGAGCAGAAGCAGGAAGGGAAGGAATCTGGGATTATTCTAGCCATCCTGATTTAATACAAATGAAATGTCCTTGAACAGAGGCGTGGGAAAGTAGTAGTAGCTTCTGAGTGCTTGTGTGTGTTGCCTAGGGACTTGTGTTGTTGAGTTGGCTCTCTGGGGTTTTGGAGCCCACTGACTTGGGTATATATAAAAGAATCCATGACTCTTTATTTTAATGCTCCCTGGCTGTTTTAACTGCCAGGATTTGAGGAATTCCCCACACTTCCATGGTGCTGGCTTCAATTTTTTTAATAGTATTGTTGAGTTTGTTATTGTAGGTAGCTTTGGAAGGCTGAACGCAAGCTTCTTTATTTGTTAAATTTATATGTCGCCCATTTTACTATCAAGCGACTAAATATTATAAACATGCTGAAGCAGCTCATTTTCAGAATAAAACAGACGGGTAAACAAATTAACATGACAAAAAGATTTACACTTTTGGACCAAGTAACATTCTCAGACCAATGTGGGAATATGTAATCAAAGAACAAAGTAAACTTACAGCCAATTTTGCAGGGGGGAAAAATCAATAGAACCAATCATATGAATAGCATCACATTAGCTGCAGATGATCCTTTGTGGGTGACAGGCAATGCATTTGAATGATGTCCTGATAGTTGTACTCCATGCAAGTTGAAAATTCCTCCATGACTTATTTCTTGAGCAGGCACAAATTGGCACTGTTGAGAAGCTTATTTTATATGGTTTCTTTTTTAAAAATGGTTATTTACAAAAGGATAACAAAAAGTGTGGGTAGTACACCATTTCTTGCCCACGAAACACCCTCTATTGACTTGTAGAAGCAAGATTAGCCTTTCCTAATGGTGCCTTCCAGATGACCACTCTCTTCATCATCTCCCAAGGCTATGTTACACAGAATTAGGACAAATAAAGCCCAAGTTATCAGGAGGCATGAGATGTGAGGAAAAGCTGAATGAGATAAAGGATTGTAAATATTCTGTACTATAGAGATTGCAAAAGCTGGGTTTCTTAAAAATGAGAAAATTCCCACCTCATTACTAGTGATTGTAGTGTTCATATTACTAATTCAGCAAAAAGTACCAACTTCATTGCCAATATCGGTAATTATTCTAAAACAATAAGAATAAGATATTACTAAAATATTTCAATGACTTTTCAAATCTAAGGTAGAAAAGCAGTAACTGCCACTTCTTAGAAATGAAATCAACTGGATTCTCTGAAATTATTTACAGTAAAACCATGCATGATATTTTGCTGTGGAAAGGCCAGAACCCAGCAATGTGCATCTTGTCTCAGGTTTATGTTAGTTTTGGAAAGCTTCATAAGATCTTTAATCACCTTTAAAAATATTTTACTTGAATCTTGACAATTGAAATGTACATGGTTTCAATCTCAAGCTTTATAGTCTACTACCGTGATGGTGAACCTGTGGCATGCAGAGCTGTATTGGTGGGCACACCAGCATTGCCCTAGCTCAGCTGCAGCACGCATGTGTGTGCTGGCCAGCTGATTTTTGGGCCTTCTGGGTCCACTGGAAGTCAGGAAACAGGCTGTTTCTGGCCTCTGGAGGGCGGGGGGGGAAGGACCATTTTTCACTCTCCCCAGGCTCCAGAGGTTTTCTAGGAGCCTGAGGAGGGTGAAAATGACCTTCCCCACCACCCCGGAGGCTGGAAACAGCCCGTTTGCCCCATTGGAAGTTGGCAAATGGGCTGTTTCTGGCCTCCGGAGGGCCTCGGGGGGGTGGGGAAAGCCGTTTTCGCCCTCCCAAGCTCCTAGAAAGCCTCTGGAGCTTGGGGAAGGCGAAAAATGGGCCTATCGTGCCATTAAGTGCTAAAAGCGGGGGGAGCACGCGTACATGCGCGGGGGGCAGGGCGCATTGAATTATGGG